TTTTCTTCCCTGACAAAGTCAAATTTGTATAGGAGGGAAAGGAGACTGACTTCCTGCTTATCCAGCCACCACCACATTCCCCTACTTTCCTTTTGTACAATATACACTGAGTGGTCAGATTATTATGATCTTTGAACACATAATAATATGGCCACTCAGTTTGTGTGTGTGTGTGTGTGTGTGTGTGTGTGTGTGTGTGTGTGTGTATTAGAGGCCCAGTGCATGGATTTGTACATGGGTAGGGTCCAGCCAGCCTGGCCAGGGGGAAGGGTCATGGGTGGTTGGCTGGCCTACCTGCTGATCGAACTCCTGGTCGAGGGCCATTTTGTTATATAAGAGGAGATCCTGTCTTTGCAAGTATTCATGGTGCCACACCTCCTTCCCAGCAATTACTAGTAATCATAGAAGTATCAATTATTGGCATGCCTCTGGTGCAGAGCTGGAAAATTTTTTCATGCTATTTCATGTGATCTGCACAACAAGGCTATGTTCAGGGTGCAATTCCATTTGCTTCCTAGGCAAACTTCTTACTGGGGCACTGAGCCTCAGAGAGCTGAATTGACCTACCAAGGTGGTATTGCGATTCAGTAGCAGATCCAGGACCAACTCCAGGCTTCCCACCCATGTTCTGGAATCAGACAGGCTTTGAGTTTGAGTTTCATCTCTTTGAATTTCAGTTGCCTTATGTACAAAATGGACTCCACAGGACTGCTGTGGAGAGGTAGTACATGTAAGCTGTACTGCCTCAGCAATCTCGGGCTCTTTTACTTCCCCAACCAAGGTCCTTTCTGGTATACTTTTCCTTTGTAGATTTCTTCATGCTCATCAAGGTTGGGAATGATCCTCTCCACATTATGTAGGGGAAACTGTTTCCAAGGTGCTTACATCACTGGAGAGACAATGTGTGGATAAATGATTAGCTATAGGAGTAGAAAGGTGGGCAGAGACAGCCAAAAGTCAGGAGGAACCTGACTCACTGGGACAGGTTTTGGAATTGTCAAGGTCTTGAGGTGCACATTTGTGTGTTCCTAGCACCTGGCTTGCAGCACCTGGCACACAGCACCTGGCATGTGCTGGTTGACCTGAACTGAACCTCTGAGTGTGGATGTCAAGAAAAGCACTAGGATCTGATGTAGCCTGAGCTCCCCTCCCCTTGCCCTGAGGACCACCCTGAAGTAAGCAGACAGCATTTGCTAGGGAGAAAATGGGTGCCCCGATTAGACATACTGGTACATCTTTGGTTAGTGTGTCCTCATGGGGACCTTGTCACATCCCCTTACTCCAAGCACTCCCAAATGTTCTCTCCTTGGCTAGCTCTGAAATCTTGCCTCTGGGGCATGTCCCACTCAAATTCACACCCCAAAGCCTGAACTTCCATGTCCCATAGCTGGCTCTTGCTCCTGGCTCATTAAGCAGCAGGCCCTTTCTGATTCCAGAACCCGGGGGGACAACTGCTCCTCTGAGCCCAATCCTGTTTCCTATCAGTTGCCCAGGCACTCTCTGGGCTGTGGGGACGCTACAGGCCTGCAGATCACACCTGCAGTCCCTGAGCTCAGGTCTCCAAAGGCAATATCTTGAAGGAGCTTTCTGCCTGCCTATTTGGAGGACATATGAGTCTGCTTAAAGCAAGCAACGTTATACATGCCTCCCTTTCTCATCCCCAATGCTGGCAAAGGGGCTGAGAAACCACTTTCTCATTCTGTGGGTGAGAGTTTCAATGGATTCAAATTTCCACAGGCCAAATTGGACCTAAAGGTACATAACTTTTGACTCAACAATTCCTTTTCTAGGAATTTATCCTGAGAAAATAAGTAAGCAAATGAAGAAAGACATATTGTACAGGATGGTTCATCAGAAGATTGTTCAAAGGGAGCAAAATTCCAACAATAAGTAATAGGTCAAATGACTCAGAACATCAATAAACTGGAATCCAATTAATTATAAGAAACAATGGTGTAGATACATAGAATGATCATAATAAGTGAAAAGTAGTTACAAAAGTATGCAATGGTAACAGGTGGCATTTATTGGGTGCTTGCTATATGCCATCCATTATTCTAAGAACCTCACAGGTGTTAACTTGCTTAATCATCACACCAAGTCCACTTAGGAAAGAATTGTCACTGTCCCCATTTTACAGGGGTTTGAAGGGATTCTATGACTTGCCCAAAGCATACACTCAGTGGCTAAGCACTTTCTGCATCTCAGAATAGGAGCATATTTAAGAACAAAACAAAATAAATGGTGTATGTGTATGTAAGGAAATCTGGAAGAACTAGAATAAAAATATTAACTGAGGAATAATATATTATAGGATGTTATCTTTTTTTGTTATATATACTTCTGTCATTTCAATAGAGTAAGTTTGCCATGTCATATTAGAGTTCATTTTGCCAGTTCTACACGTGACCTGTGCTCAGGAGGAAATGAAGAGTTTAACTCTTTCAGGTAGTGGGTCAGGGGTCACCAGAGTTAATGCTGACAAAGGATCAAGAAAGGTCATCTCTACTTCTTCATTTCAGTCTATACTGCTCAGGAACTCACTGTGTTTTTCTGAATAGTTCAAATAATGTTCAGAATTCTCTACATGTTAAAGATATATTTAAAAATACAAAACCCCCAGCCCTGGCTAGGTGACTCTTGTTTGGAGCGTCATCACACACACACACACACACACACACACACACACACACACACACACACACACATATACACACACAGAGTTGCAGGTTTGATTCCCAGTCAGGGCACATACCTAGATTATGGGTTTCATCCTCAGTTGGGGCATGTAAGGGAGACACATCAATATTTCTCTCTTTCCCCTTTCCTCCCTCTCTAAAAAAATAAATAAATAAACAAACAAATAAAATCAATAAACATAACCTAGGATGAGGATAAAAAATACAAAGGCCCCAGATAGAGACCACCTTTAATGCTGTAGAATGATCCATTGTATTCTTGAATGTAAAATTACCCACTAAAATTTCCCCCTTTTTCTTTCTTTTAGGAAAAAGAGAAGAGGGAATGTAGTGGTGCTCACGGAGCAGTGTTCATTTCTGCCTTGCTCCCATTAAAATTCTCCTTCTTCCCTGTGTTGCATTTCATTTAGAAATGGCTGCCCGACCAGCTTCTCCAGAGGCCTGAGCTCCCGGGTCCCTCTGCCACTCCAAGTCCAGCTTCTCTCTCCCGTTCCCAAGGGCTGCCTTTGTCCGAGAGGCTCCTCTTCTGGGCATGGTTTCTCATCGCTGGGACATCCCCATGAGGGGAACCTGGAGGCAGCAGAGCCTTAAAATAAACCTTCAGAATGAAGCAATTGCTCCTGTGCTCAGCGCCTGGCTAGTGCCTCTGTATGAACACCTCCTTTGCCTCTCACATCAGCCTGTCGAGTAGGAGTGATTCTCCCAGGTTCTTAGAAGATGAGGCTTTGATGACTGCCCAAGGCCCTAAAACCATAACTTAAATACCAGTTTGGCTTCAATATGCACATTTTCCTTTTTACACTATCCTCATTCACAGGGATTTACCCACCTGAGTTCCTTTGCTTCATTTCTTTGGTGCTTTATTTTTTTTATTTTTTTAATATAATTTATTGATTTTTTTTTTTACAGAGAGGAAGAAAGAGGGATAGAGAGTTAGAAACATCGATGAGAGAGAAAGATCGATCAGCTGCCTCTTGCACACTCCCTATTGGGGATGTGCCCGCAACCAAGGTACATGCCCCTGACTGGAATTGAACCAGGGACCCTTCAGTCCACAGGCCGAAGCTCTATCCACTGATCCAAACCAGTTTCGGCTGGTGCTTTATTTTTTTTGAAGTAGGAAATTAAGAGCAGAGGTAATTGGGCAAAAGGGAGAGTCATTTTTTAAAGTAAAAACTACTTTTGTATTTTATAACCATGTATCTCATTCTTTTCAGAGGAGAGTTAACTAGTTAAGTTTCAGAGTTTAAAAATACACACACACACACACACACACACACACATCTTATGGTTCATAAGTGCTTCTATGGATTATGCTAATTGAAAGCTCACCATGCCCTGACCTTAACACCCACTCCAGAGTCTCATTCCACTCTCAACCCCTTGTCCATGGTCATGGGTGAAACACAGAGGCAACATCAGTAGAACAAAATATATGGCATTTATTAAACAGATGTGACATGGGTAATTATAATATCAGAGTAGAGCATGCATGAACAAATTACTCATTCGTTTAACAAAAACACCAATCAATACTGAAAACATGACATGATTAAATTTCCACAACATACAAAATTCTCTTTCAGTTAAAATGAGAAAGAAAAAAAAATCACAGGTTGAATAAATACAGTGATTTCAGCTGGCTCTGCAGAAGCATAAGGCACAGATTAAACCAAGAGATCGGCAGGTCAGAATGAAGCGTGTCTGCCTACATGAGGACCATCTCCAAGGGTTCCCTCAACGCTGCACACAATCAAGAGGAGACCGACCGCACGTGTGCTGGGAACATCCACCCGCTACCCTAATCCCTGCATCCACCATCAAGTTCCCCGGATGCCCACGCTCTAGTGGACAGGCTTCTCTGCTCCAGAGAAATACTGCCTCTAATACTTTTATGGGTAAACAAAGCCTTCATGCGTAACAAATGGTCCTGGACGGAATAGCATGAAATTTCAAATGAATGCCCTTTTTCCTCCCAACTGAAGTCTAGTAAAACAAAATAGATTGTGAGGGGATTCTTCTGACAGGACTTCAGCGTATACTACATGGAAAACTAAGAATGGCCCAGGACAGCAGAATAGGCTGTTTGGGTGTTTGAAATATGACCTTGTAAACCTCTCTCTTGCTCTCCCCCAACGCCTCCACTTTCCTTCACATCTTATGAAATGGATCAGAACCGCAGCAATTTCCATTCTGGCTTAAACTGCATATACGAAGAAGCAATAGTCACCCTTTCCAGACTTTGAGCCATCGGATCCCAGGGCCTTTGTCCATCTGTAAAAAGTGCACATGTCTGAGGGCCTAAGTCAGAGTTTTCTTCATGGTTAACTCCAGGACTCGTGCGTACGGGACATAGTTCCTGGAAGGCATTGCGGAGACTTCACGGGTCCGATGTGCTTCGCTGAGAAATGAGAAAAGGCTGGTCAGGAAGATGAAACAAAACTCTCCATGCTCTTGGGTAAGTCAACTCTAGGAAATAGCTTTTCGACACTTAAAAAATTGACTGCAATAATGCAGTTGAATATTTCATTTAAATGTTACAAAAGGGACCATTATTTGTAGCAGACTGTAAAGGTTTAGCACATGCAAGACATCCATGATTTAGAAAAATATAAAACGTGCATTGAAGGAACTCATAATTTGGTGGGAAAGATACATACATAAATCATTTTAAGATTATGTACTGGGATGACTCTAATAGAGATGTAAAGAGCTCCATTTGCCCATTCAGATCTACTTTCCCTCTTCTCCACTCACTTTCAGCCCTAGGAAGCTGATCTGAAGGTCAGCATCAATGGATTCCCTTACCATTCATTGGGTCATTTGACTAATTGGGACAAGATAGCAGAAGATGAGAAAACAGGAGGACAGAGAGGTCAGAACATTTGTTCCCTTCTGGCCAGGTGGCAGGTGGCTATACTTCTCTGGCAAAGGCCTCAGGTACAGCCCTACCCTCTGTCTCTTCCACTGGCTTTCACTTCTTTAGGCCCAGACTCTGCCACTGCCCTTTGCTTATTTTCCCTAAAGATGCCCAAGTCTTTACAAATAGTCCCTTCATTTAAATTTCTTCAATATTCCCTTCCATCCAAGATCCTGAGAAATTAATAGATTATGGGCAAACTGAGGGCAGAACAAACTAGCATCACTAGGAGGACATCTGGAAATCCACACAGGGAAGGTGAATCTTGGAGGATTCTCAGGCATTCCCCAAGTGGGCAAGGAGACAGGAATTCCAGGTGGAAGATGGGAATGTGCCAAGGCAAGGAAGGGTGGACACGAAGACCACAGGTGCGAAAGGAGACATACTTGGTTCAACTGGAGCAAAGACTTCAAAATGGAAAGTAGACAAAGCCAAGACATGGTGGAGAAGGGCCCTTTGTGCTCCTCTAAGGAGTTCAGAAAGGGACAGAGAGTCACCAAAGGCTTCAAGGTTGGGGAGAATGATATGTTCATATTTTATTCCAGCCAGATACCTTGGTATTGCTGAGGGATGACTGCTGAGGGGTCAGTTTGGAGGCAGAAGGTTAGTGATCATGGAGGTGGATCATGAGAATGAATTCTAACAGTAGCACTGGAGGTAAAGTAGCAAGGAGAAGTTAGGGAGCTATGTGGGAAGTAGATTTAATAGAACTTAGTGTCTAAGATGGAGCCATATCTCATATTTTGTCCTCCTGGACACATAATAAAACTACATTTCCAAGCCTACCTTGCAATTTGGTGGACCATGTAACTAAATGAGCAAAAATCATTTACAGTTGACCCTTGAAGAACATGGATTTGAACTGTGCAGATCCACTCATAAGAGGATTACACAGATTTTAAAAATCTGCATATAAGTGGGCCCACACAGTTCAAATCCGTGTTCTATAAGGGTCAGTGTGTTGTTGTTTTTTCTGTTTGCAGGTGGAAATCCATGTATGCTAAGTGACTACTTATTATAGTCAAATTTTTGACTGCGTGGGGACTGGTGCTCCTAATTTCTGCATTATTCAGTAGTCAACTATACATTGCTTCCAGGGTTAGCCTAGAAAAACCTTCTACATAATTCTCTGATATCTCTCTTTCCTTCCATGCAGAGGATACAATAGAGGACCCAAGGGGACTCAAAAGCCCAGGCAGAGTCACTAGAAGGAGAATCCTGGGTTCCTGGATGGCTGTGTGGAGAGAGGCCCATATCAACCTGCCTTAGATTGTGCTGAGAAATCAACCTTTACTGTGCTCAGCCCCCAATATCTCTGGGCTGTTTGCTATAGCTGCTACATTTCTTATCCCGACTGTTGCAATGAACTATTGGTGTATATGAGGTATAAGACTCAACTCCCTTTCCCTAACTTTTCATGTCCAATTACTCACCAAGTGGTATGGAATCTGAAGTACTGTTTTGTGATCTCATTTCTCTATCAGCTTGGCCACTGCCTTTTCAGGGTCTCATATTTTATCTTTGAATTTTGGAATAGTGTCCTAAATGGTCTCCCTGACTCACCTCCCTGAATTTACTACCCATTTGCTGTCAAGGACATCTTCCTAAAAAGACAACAGAGCATATTACTCTTATTAAAATTCTCCAAAGTCTCCCCATTATTTCCTGGGTGAATTCCAACTCCTCTGTCTGGTCCAAAGGTCCTCTACCATCTCCTGTTTTACCTCTTGGCTGGCCTTGCAAACCAAAACGCAATCCTCACCATTCACCGCACGGCGGCCCACCTCTCTGCAACCTCATACTGTCCCCTCCACCTTGAGTGCTTCCCTAATCAGATCGATCTGATGAATTCCTGCCTGATTTTCAAGACTCAAACCAGGCAGCACCTCTCATATGACAATTTCCCCGATTCCCCCAACCAGTGATAGAAATGATCCTTCCTTTCTTATCCGTTCACAGTTCCTAGAGCAACACTGCTCAATTTCCTGCTTCCCAAAGGTTCACTTCTGCTAAACGATCCCAACACTAACACCTCCCACTGCCTTGCAGTGATTTTCAACTAAAGAGTAGTAGGGAGACAGTTTCTTAATGAGGTCTATTAGAACCTTGGAGGTGGGAGGGGATTTTAAACTTCACATGTCTCTCCCCAATTGATTCAATAGGTCCTTTCCAAGCCCTCCGTCTTACGGTAACACCCTGAAAAGGCCTGTCACACAGGCTTCTGACACACCACTGGGAGCACCTCCATTGCACCCTCTGGCCCATGCATTTGTCTCCTCTGCTGGGTGTCAGTTCTTGAACTGCATCTCACTTATCTTCATGGCCCCAGAAGCTCACTCAGGCCAGGCACAGATCCCTCACTCCACATGCAGGTGGCAGAGGGAACCAGGAGACGAAGGGTGCTGAGAAAAATGCTCAGAGTGTCACCTGCCGCACTGAGGAAGCCACAGGAACTGGCAACCCAGGGGTCTACAGTGACCTCACCAGGCAGGTTCGTGGAGCACCAGGGGCAGAACCAGATGGCAATTTTCACCACTGTGAAAATTCCCTATAACAGAAATGGTCTCCGGTGATAATATCCTAAAAGCCATAAAGTACAGAAATATTTATAATGGTGGACTTTCTGGGTTTCAAAAACAGGCTCATACAGCCCAACCAAAAAGAGTGAGGCATTTCATTCAGTTGATCACTAGGAAACAATAAGATTTAAGAACACAAAACATTTTTCAACCATATAACTGAAATGTAACCATTTTATTTAACAAATTAAGGCTATTGTTAACCATTTATAAATCCATAAAGAGGAAATTTCCCTGGGGGAATGATAGCAGAATCACAGTTTTGACAAAAGCTACCTTGTGTTCTGGTCTCTGCCACAGAAATTTGAAAAGGTGGGCATTTTAAAGTGCTTACTGTGTGCTCGGCACTTATGACCACAGGGAATATTTTTCATTAAATTGTACCTATTAAGGCATAATTTATGAGTTTGCTGGAAACTAGGTTTTACTTGGGGCAGGAGTAAGAGGCCTGTTTTCTTTTGTTGTTTTTGTTTTCACTTTTCTCTGTGAGCTAAGGTTAGCTGACCTGAAATCGCTCTCCATGGCTTTAATTAGCATACATCAAACCTTTCAAATAAAGTGGTTCAATCTTTTATTTTAAAAATAAGAGTTTAAAAGCCCTTGAAATCACACTGAGCACCTTCTCGCTTCTTTCCCTTCTCCTGGCTCCACTAAGAGATCCTTTCGGTCCAGGAATTTGAGTAGCAGAGATTAGATGAAGGAGGGAAAAGATTTGAAGAGAAGAGCCTGGAGGTTGGGAGATTAGACATGCCACTAACTAACCTCAGGAAGTGGGAAAAGAAAGATATGAAGCAAGTCATGAAGGAAAAAGACAGCACTGTATGAGTGAGTGAGTCTAGGAGCAAACAATCGGTCTCAAAGGTGACTGTAGTACATTGACCTTAGGTAACTGGGAAAGCAGTGGCAGCAAAAGAAAATATGCAAATGTGGTCACTGCACTGGGGACCCTATGTCTCTTTCTTACTTATCTCAGCAAGCTTCTGAGGGAATTACTATCTTGCTATTCTAGGTGAGAAAATTGACTTACATAGCTGAGGATGTAGAAAGAGGAGGCAGATCCAGGACCTAAATCCAAATTTAACTTCCATCAAGTATTCAAACACCACTAAGAGAAAATGACTTGGATAGAGAAACTGACTGGCTCCATGATGGATATGAAGATCAAGCAGTCAAGAGCTGGGATTGTCCAGCAAGCAGCAGGAAGTGAAGATTTGTATATGCAAGGCAGAGAGACTCAATTACTTCATGGCTCGGCCACAGGGTAAAGCCAGGAGACTGGATGCCATCTTTATAGGAACTACTGTAACCAAGCAAGAACCATGAGGAGTTCCTACAGTGAGATCTTAGAGGAAAAATAGGATCTATTAAAAAAAAAAAAAAAAAAAAAAAAGCAAACAAACAAACAAACAAAAAACATGACGGACAGGCCAGGGAGGTAGGAGAGAATCAAAAGAGGAAAGTCCTCCAAGAGTTAACATTTTTCTGATAAGAAGGACTATCAAATGCTAGAGAGGGATGGCTCCAATCAACAGATATGCATGCCTATGATGTGGGAAGTACTATTCTAAATAGATCCCAGAGAGACTCAGTTAGTGAAATGGATGAAAATCCCTGCCCTGATGAAGCTTATATTCTAGTGGGAGGAGAGAGAGGTAAAATATAAGCAAGAAATATTTTTCCAAGTTTTATTAAATAAACTAGAGGCCTGATGCACAAAATTCCTGCAAGGGGCCCAGACGGTGGCTCTGCTGTTTGGTCTAATTAGCATATTGGTTCTTTATTATATAGATTCATAATATAATATAACACAGATCAGCTGCCCAAGACCCCACTTGGTATATCTTTCATTCAGTCAGTCATGAAATAAATGCTTGGCACCCTAGCATCACTGTCAGTAGGCTACCTAGTGTTGGCAGTGTGGGGAAATGTGTGTGTATATTGGGGGGGGGGGGGGGAGAGGGATGATAAAGGGGATTGATGGCTTTGTAAGTAAGGAAAAGGCTGATTTCAATTCTTTTCAGCCGTACATAAATATAGAGCAGCTCTAATAGACAGATGCTATTAGCCATAGCACAGCATATAGCCCTTGCAGGTGTAAACAGAAATGAATCGTAGGGCTACTCTACAGTGAGACTTTGTGCCAGGGCCTGGGTCATGCTGGGGCCACTCTGATGTCTCAGCTGACAGAGTCTCTTCAAACCACTGATGGTTTAAGTGAGGAGCTCAATGCATTCTAAAGCACTATGCCCTTGAATAAGCTATTAATACATTTAACAAGATCACTACTAACCACCAATAAGAATTAAGTTGGATATATTGTCTTAGCACACACAAATTCATTTATATTTGATAAAATGTCTTACATGTAAAGACAGAGATTTTACTTGGTTTAGTAGTAATAGCTATTATTTAAGAAGTGCTTAATTTAGTTCTAGTTACCATGCTAAACATTTTATACACATGTTTTCATGTAATCCTCTTAGCAACCCTCTGAGATCTGATATTGACAACTTTACTCCCATTTTAAGGTGGAAATCACTGAGTCTTAAGAGAGATTACATAGCTTGCCCAAGGCAGTGCTCAGCTGACAGCTGGCCGAGCAGGGCACACCTGCAGCCTGAGGTCCCCAGTTGGAACACACTGCCGAGTCCTTTGTGGGAGAAGAATAGGGAGTAAGGACCAAACCCTGTACATCTCTGAGGCTTAACTCAGTACTTTCGCTGATCTAAAACACAGTGGAGGAGCCTGTTTGTAAAACAGTCTCGAAAACACCATGAATCTTATATTGGTTAGACACACGTCTGAAGTCCAAAAAAGAACCAGGAATTTTGTTGGAACATACACAACACAATTAGTGACTCTATTTGTTATTTTAAAACCACAAATGTACCACACCAGGACTCAGAAAGCCTGGCTCTCATCCTGGCTGTGTGGCATCCAGTCATCACATTATCTCTCTGGGCCTCAGTTTGGTGTCTATAAAACATGGGGATTAAGCTAGACCAGGGGCTTCCAACTTGTTTGATCATAGAACTGTTTATTCCAACAAAATCTTACTTGGAACCCAACTATCAAACACACTAAAAGCCGAGTTCTTCTCGTTTGTTTTCTTTTGGTGATGGTGGTGATGGGGAAAGCCCTAGCACGGAGCGTGGCGGTTCCGAGAAGCACAGGTGGAAAACTACTGGCCCGGATAATCTCTAAAGACCTCGTGGTCCTCACCACTCTGGCTGGCAAGGTGCCTGTCACATAGTAGGCACTTAATAAATATCTGTGAGGAAACGCATGAAATATTATTCTGCCTTTTCGGAAATGTGGATACGTAGTTTTCATTTCCTCTGCTGATTGACCCAGGTAGTTAAAGTGCTAAGATGGATCCTGGGGGAGACCAAATGTTACATTTATGGAAAAGCTGCTTTCAGATACTGAAGTGGCTTCCAAGTTCACCGTGGCCATAAGTTAAGGGTCTGTCAGCACTTCCATTATGAAAACCGCTTTGTGGTTTCATGACTTCGCCATAAAAGTTTGCTCCAGGCTATCCTTCGGCATACAAATTGAAAAGCATGTTTTAAGCCAAAATGTGGGAATTAGAAAACAAACAACTGATTGGTTTCAGACATGGTTTTGGACCTGTCCTAGCCCAACAAGATTTATTATGTGGGCAATTAGGGTGGACTAAGTCACTTGGTTTTTAAAAAATGAAAAGGAGGGAAATGGCCTCACTTTATATTTCAAAAGGAGTTCCTGAGTATGATCAATCATTTCTTTTTAAATTTTTTTATTAATTTATTGACGAGAGAGAGAAAGAGAGAGAAAGAGAGAGAGAGAGAGAGAGAGAGAGAGAGAGAGAGAGAGAGAGATGGAGAGAGAGAGAGAGAGAGAGAGAGAGAGAGAGAGAGAGAGAGAGATGGAGAGAGAGAGAGAGAGAGAGAGAGAGAGAGAGAGAGAGAGAGAGAGAGAGAGAGAGAGACATGGCGTTGTTGTTCCATTTATTTATGTATTCGCTGGTTGATTCTTGTATGTGCCTTGACCAGGGATGGAACCCACAACCTTGGCAGATGGAGATGTTGCTCTAATCAACTAAGCTACCTGGCCAAGGCGCTTTTTGGCAACACTTTTATTATGTACTCTGTACCCCACATGGGTGAGACCTGGGGTCTATTTACATAATCTTCTCCCCCTTTTGTCTTTCTCTCTTTTTAAAAAACTTTTTCTATTAATCATATCAGAGTGATGAAATTCGCCTAGCTTTTACCAGAAAACAAGCAATGTAAAGGAGAACAATGTGACCTTGGTGATCTAAGTCACAAACCGCATGTCATCAGCATCCTTCTTATCAGCTTGTTTTATGTCCTCTTTGGGGTCAAGCACAGTTGTGAGCACCTGGAGCCGGTGGGTTCATTACAAGTTCCAAGCATGTAACCTAGGCATGGTCATGTGGAGCTTAACATTGAATGTGTCAGTCCCCTAGTGCAGAAATGCAACCGAATCCAACAGGCTATATCTGCTCATGACTGAAGTACAGCAGTTATTTATGAATCTGATTCAGTGCTTGACAATACTCTGTTTTGATGCTGGGACATAGATGAATTTTGTCCAAGATTTAAACTCTCCCTCCCTCACAAGTCCCTCTCACACTGTTGTAAGTCACTACCAAATATCTGTCTTTCTTTCCAGGCTGCATCCTGGGACCGGAACTAAATCTCATTCTTCTCCATGTCATAACTGTCTGGCACAATGTCTGAGGAAAGGAAGGAAGGAAGGAAGGAAGGAAGGAAGGAAGGAAGGAAGGAAGGAAGGAAGGAAGGAAGGGAGGGAGGGAGGGAGGGAGGGAGGGAGGGAGGGAGGGAGGGAGGGAGGGAGGGAGGGAGGGAGGGAAGGAGGGAGGGAGGGAGGGAGGGAGGGAGGAGGAAGGGGAAAGGATAAGGGAAGGAGAGAGGGAGGGAAAAGAGAGGGAAAGGAGGGGAGGGAGGAAGAGAGGAAGAAAGGAGAAATGCACTCACTGATAGTGGCACTTGAAGTGGCTCCCTGAAGTGGTTTTCCAGATCTCTCCTTTACCTCCCCTCCCCCCTGAACAATGCCCCCCCACCCGCCCCACCCCCTGCAACTCCCACAGAAACCGCTCAGATGCTTCAGCAGCCACCACTTATCTTTGAAGAAATATTTTTGATAGAAAGAATGCAATTCTCATCATAACAACTCAAGAAAGTATTTTTTTAAGTCAAAGAAGAATTTGAGTCAGAAAAACAGGAAATTCCTAAATACCTGGGTACAAGATCACAGCCCACTCCAACCTCTCTGGTTTCCACTTCAGTCTTGGGCTGGTTTTCTGTTAAGTAATCCAACTTGCTTTGTAATTCATTATTCTAGAGAAGCGGGAGGAAAAAAAAGTATTTTTAATAAAGCAAATATGTTCCCCCACAAATATACATGATATAATTTATATGTATTATCAGATTTTCCCCCATGACATGGACATCCATCACAATGTATTAATCAAGCATCTCTTATACAGCAGGAATTGAAGAAATACATAGATTGGACTCTTACAGGTAGCTTTCTGTGCATGCACATACATATGTATCCAATTTTACATAAATGGAAACAAACAAAATATCCTGATCTACATATTAAATCTGTTTTTTCACTTAACAATTTGTTGTGAATACCTTTCCACATTTATTAGTTTTCTTTTTATAACAACAAACTCTTTTAATGCATTCATAGCATTCCATTGTATAGATGTACATTATTTATTTAACTTATTGATGGGAACTTAGATATTTAGTGCATTTTTACAATTATAAATAAGGTAAGTTCAGCTTTTAATACTCCCTTATTAAACTATAAAATGAGTAACTCTATTAATTTAATTTAATGAGAAATACCTCTATAACTTAATAATTAGTATTTCATAGGTGTGGAAAATTCAGAATCTCAAACATATAAAATAGAACAAGCTCTTTGGGATTAAAATTAGCATTCTAATTATTTTTTTTCAAGGCAGGGCCAAACATTACGTAGGCTGATGATCACATGCTCGGGAATTGAAAATTTGCCCCATGGGGAAAATGAAGGACAAAGGAGCAAAAAACATTGAGGATATTGTAATGAAAACAGATGAAATGATGGTGCCTAAAATCTAATGGGCAAAAACTTACACAAAAAATTCAGAAAGCAATTAACAGTGGTTATCTCTGTATATTGAGATTTTTAGATATGTACTTAAAAGTTCTACTTATTTTCTATAATGCTAGACTAAATTTTCATGTGGCAAAAACCATATTTATCTTACTGGTTATGTCCTCATAGCATGGCATGTAAGATATGCACAATACATATTTATTGAATAAAAAAAATGTATAAATTGCCTTTCATATTATTTGCATAACTAAAAAAAAAGCATTTCAGCATTTGTCTTCTCTTTAAGTTGGAGCGGAACCTTAGGCTCCGTCCTATGCATTAAAAGAGTTTGTTGTTATAAAAAGAAAACTAGATAGCACACAAACGTCTCAAAGTCCTATGGAAACAGGGGCTTGTTTGTTGAAGAGGAAGAATGTGGTTTACAGCTCAGAATGTGGTGCTTGGATACAAACTCCTGGAGGATGTAAAGAGCCATGAACTTTTTATAATAAATGTGAAGTGTAAAGGAAGGGAATTCCATCCAGATTCCCTGGCAGCTGACAAGCCATGACAAACCTGCAGGCTCCGAATCTATCCCCTGACACTCAGTATGGGAGACCCCTGCTTTGGCTCCCTGCCAGGGGCACATCAACATTCTCTCTTGCTCCCCCATCCCCTCCCCACTCCTCCATCCCTTCCCTGCTCCCCGCATCCGTTCTCCCCTGTTCTCTCATATGTATAGATTATAATATACATACTTTTGTTATTTTCATTTATATAAGCATTTCCTATTATAAATATTTTAATGGTTGCATTATATTTTCTCTTAATCTCTTTAAAATACATAAGATTTTAAAACAAAAATTACAACAATATATTGTGAGTTTCTAATGTGTATAGAGTCAATACATACAATAATTGTAACAGCAGGGGGAGGGGTAAATGGACCTATATAATTGCAAAATTTCTACATTCACATGAAGTGGTAAAATATTACCTCTAAGTGGACTGGGAACCCTTAATGATGTATATTTCAATACTTAGAGCAATCACTATTAGAGAAAAGACACACAGCAAAATTCCAGTTGATAAATTGAAACGGAATTCTAAAAATATTGAAATCATTAAAAGAAAATGAAGAGCAAAACAAACAAAAACAAAGGGAATAAAAAAAAATAATGAAATGGTAGACCTAAATCCAACAATATCAGAATAATAAATATCAATGGACTATATATTTCAATGAAAAGACAGAGTCTATTAGAATGTATAAAAAAGCAAGACCCAACTTCATATTATTTATAAGAGATGCACTTTAAATATAGAGGTATAGTTCAGTTGAAAATAAATGGGTGAAAAATACATACCATGCAAACACTAAACGTAAGAGGGCAGGACTGGCTATGTTGATATCAGAAAAAATAGACTTCAAGACAAAGAATATAAAAAAAGGTAGTGTTCATATTTCAACATTTCATAATAATGAACAGATTAATTCATCACCAAGACCTAGCAATAAAAATGTGTATGTATCTATTAATAAAGCTTCAAAATACATGCCATCAAAAATAACAGATTAAAGAAAGAAATGGATGGCCTAAAAACCATAGTTATACATTTCAGAACTCCTCTTAGCAATTGATAGGACAATTATGTCAAAAATCAGGAAAATATAAATAATCTAAGCAATATTATTAACCACCTAAATCTAATTGATATTTATAGAACACAAACAAAAACAGCAGGATACACTCTTTTCACAATATTTAACCGAGAGAAACCATATGTTGAGTCATAAAACAAGTCTCAATAAATTTAAAAGAATTAAAACCATACAAAGCTTGTTCTCTGACCATAATGGTTAAATTAGAAATAAAAACTATAAGATATCTAAATCAAAACAAAACAAAACACACACACACCCCTCAATTATTTGGAAGTTAAACAACACACTTCTGAATAATGCATAGGTCGCAGAAGACTCAGAGAAAGTTAGGACATATTTTGAACTGGATAATAATGAAAATACATCATATCAAAGCCTGTGGGATGGTAGCTGAAGCAGAGATTCATGGGACATTTATAGCTTTAAAGGCTTACATTAAAAAAGAAGAGAGGTCTATAACCAATGACCTAAGGTCCACCTCAAGAAGCTAGAAAATGGAGAGCAAAGTAATAACGAAATAATTAGAAGGGAGGGAATGATGAATGTCAGAGCAAGACTCAATAAAATAGAAAACAAACAATAAAGAAAATAAAACTAAATGCCACTTTAATTTTTTTTCTAAAAAAGAAACAAAGCTGGTAACCCAATAGCTAGACTGACCAAAGAAGAGGGAGAGGGCGGGGAAGGAGGGTGGCACAGATGATCAGTATCAAGAATTAAAGAGATACCGAAAGGAAACAGGTGGGTATCCAGGTGGGGGGTAAATCATCAATCCTTACAAACCGCAAAAATGATCTCCAAAAAGGATCACAGATCTAAATTAAAAAGCAAAAACTATGAAATTTTTAGAGGAAATCATAGAAGAAAATCTCTGCAACCTGAAGTAGACAAAAGATTTCAGAGGATGCAAAAAACATAAGCCATAGAAGAAAAATAAGATAAATTGAACTTTATAAAAAATAAAACCTAAACAAAAATACCTTCAAAATATATCCAGAAAGTGACAAAACAAATGGAATGAGAGAAAATGTTCACAATACATTTATCTGACAAAAAGCCAGAGTATACAAACTATGCCTAACCCAATAATAAGAAAACTAAAGACTCAATAAAATAATGGGCAAAAGGCTTGAACAGAAACCTTAAAAAATAGATATATAAATGGCCAATGAGCTTTTTAAAAGATGCTCAACATCTGTAGCAAATAAAAATCACTGACATACGACCACATACTCTCTAAAATGGCTAAATTAAAAAGACTTGACAATACTCAGTCAGGTGTGCAGAAACTGGAGCCCTCCAACTGCTGGTGGGAATATAGAATAGTTCAACCCCTTTACCAACCTGTTTGACAGTTTCTTTAAAGTTAAACCTATATCTACATTATTTGACCCAGAAATTTACACAGGAGGAAAAACAAACAAACATGTCCACATAATGATGTGTACAGTAATGTTCATAGCAGCAGTATTCAAAATAGCCCAGTTGGAAACAACTTAGATGTTTATCAGCAATGGATAAATACATTGTGCTATGTTCATACAATGGACTACCACCCTGCAATACATCTGAAATCATTATGCTGAGTGAAAGAAGCCAGACACAAGAGAGTAGATACCATATGATTCCACTTACATAAAATGCAAACAGGTCAGAGTGACAAAAGTGTCCCCTCCTTGGAGGAAAAAGAAAAGTGATTGCCTAGCAAGAAAGATTGACAAGGGCAACAGAGTAGCTGGCTGGGGAGTGATGGGAATGTTCTCTTTCTTGCCTGTGGTGGTGGTTCCACAGGTATATGTGACTGTCAAAACCCATCGCGTTTTACACTTCATTTTTGTAGTCAAGTATAAGGACATGTAGCATATTAGTTCCAGATCTACAACATAATGATTCGATCTTTGTATATATTGCTAAGTGATCCCTGTAGTAAGTCTAGTTAACATCCATCATTATGCACTTTAAATAGGTGCAGTTTATTTACATAAATTAATATATATTAACGTTGACAAGGGGAAAAAGAAAAGATGGTGAGAGCCTGAACCTGGACAGTACAAGGGAGGGACAGATTTGAGAACTACTTAAAAATAAAACGGACAGGACCCGCTACAGGAAAACACAGGCTGCCTGCAGCTGCTCCCGGTCTTGCAGAATACGGCTAAACTGGACCGACAAGAGCAGCTCAGATGGCCTACCGCCCGGCCTGAGCACTGAAGAGGTTGCTTCTAGGACCCGGAATCAAGTTCCAGGATTTTCCTGCTTTCAAATACCACCACCTTGTGTTTAGATGTGAAATGCATACCCTCCAGTGGCTCTGGAGGCTGGGTGTCTTCCAGAAAGGAAGCATCTGCTATGACACCTTTTGGGCAGTCTTCTGGAAATTATGTCACAAATGCATGGCAGCCACCAACTCCCCCGACTCTCCCAGGCCCCGAAAACAAGCAGCAAGGCTGTAGCACACACACTGAAAAAGAATGTGTGTCCCATAAAGTGCGTGCATGCAGCCCTGGTGCCTGGGGCTGCTGTCCCACTAGTACACGGGGAAGTTAATGAGTCCCAGGAATGCACAACAGACATGTGGGGAGGTTTATGGGCTGCATAGTGTACATTAAATGCAGGGTGGACCAAACCAAGACATTTGGATCCTTCCCTCTGTCTTTTAAATGTAGCTGTACATGTAGGATTTCCAGCAGGGAGAAAAAAAAGGGAAAAAAAATACATATATATATATATATATATATATATATATATATATGTGTGTGTGTGTGTGTGTGTGTGTGTGTGTATTTTTTTCCATATATATATATATATATATATATATATATATATATATATATATATAATGGGATTTATGCAGAATTTCAGAAAGCTTACCAACCTAATGAAGATGTATGCTTGGAATTTTATTTTGAGAATATATTCTATATCAAAAGTAGAAAATGGGAAATTTCTTATTCAAGAGGTGAGCAAATAAAAATTTGGAAAAAAAGAATGGGCATATTTTTGTATCAGGAAGATTTGAATGAGTTGATGAAAATGCAGTGTAGTGGGGTTAGGCTAGACAAATTTTGAGGGATCTGGTTGGGATGGGAATTGCATAAGCATCAGTAAGTACAAATGATGAATTCAAGGACCAAAATTATCCATATTTCTCTATTTAAAAGAAGAAGGAGAAAGAAGAGAGAAAGAGGAGGAAGAAATATATATCAATGACACCTAGACAACTGAAGAAATAATAAACATATATACTTTTTCTAATCATTTAGTATTAACTAGTTTAATCTCTGTAACAACTCTGTGGAGAGGATGCCATACCAGGAGAGGACTTCCATTTATAGATGAGCAAACCAAGGCAGTTAAGTAATTTGCTCAAGATCACGTAAGTAGTAAGTGGCAGAGTTGAGATTTCAATTGAGGCAGTCTGGCTCCAGCGTCTGCCACTTAAAAGTCTGGGCCCTTAAAAGAAAGTAACTACTTTATTAATAAGACAGAACATAGGAACTTACCAAATTTGTTTACCAAAACATTTCAAAGAGATCTGAAACACCACCCTTGGCAAAATTATGGTTTAAGGCATGGGGTGAAAAGTCACAGAATAAAAATTACTGGTATTAGATCAACATAATAGACATTTTAGTGCCTAACAGAACCCTGTATTGTAGAGCAATGTAATTAGATAAACTTGGAGAATACTGGTGTGATCTCACAATCTTAAAAGGATACGCATTTTCCCTAATCCTGTGACTAAAAAAATTGCCAGATAGTTATTCACCAATGTAGGTCTCCACTAAAAGCTCACCATCCCGACAAACATACTGGTTAAGAGCTCAGGCTTTGAATCCAGGCTTACCATCTCTTCCACCACATTGGGCATGTTCCTTAATGCATCTACACCTCAATTTCCACTTCTTTAAAATGAGGATAATATAATCTAACTCACTGGGCATCCTTTCAATAAAAAGAGAACAACACTAACAAGTTACAGGTTAACAAGTGCTCAGTACCTGCCATGCCCTCTCTATGCATCTCTATGGAAATTATGATGCACAGTCACACACACACATGTAGATGCAGTCAACATTCACATTTTGTAAGAAACTTTCCCCAGCATCACCCAGACAATAGGAAGCAGAAGTCTGATCCCACTCAACGTCAATGTTATACAGAGAATATAGAAAGTCAACAGTGCCCAATGAGTACAAGGTCCGTAATAAATGCCTCTTCTTTCCTGGCCCCTTACTTCATCCTTCTCTCCTGGACTGTCCCCAAGGGAAAGAGTATAATGAAGAGTCAGACAAGGCTTAGATTCATGGAGGTTCAGAAGGAAGAGGCTCAATGCCAAGCTCTTACTACATACCCTTCAGAGCAAATAGATTTTGGCTTCTCCTCCAGTTAATACCTAAGCCCTCAATTTTTTTTTTCCAACTCCATAATTTCCTTCTCTGGAACTTATATAAAACACCAAAATGACTTTTAAGCCGGAAAGACAGGAATACTAAATAACTTTAAAGTTGCAGGTGAAATTAAGTCACCGCTAAAACGTGTTGACTTAGTTTCCTAGAACATTGGATTGGATTGAGTAACACCCGGCCATAGTGTTACTGAGCTGGGGGATCCTGAGTGAAGCACCTGCCTTCCCTGAACCTCCTCTTTAAAAACTGGTTAAGCCCTAGCCGGTTTGGCTCAGTGGATAGAGCATCAGCCTACAGACTGAAGGGTTCCGGGTATGATTCCGGTCAAGGGCACAGCCTGGGTTGTGGGCTTGATCCCCAATAGAGGGTGTGCAGGAGGCAGCCAATCAATGATTCTCTCTCATCGTTGATTTTTTTCTATCTCTCTCTCCCTATCCCTTTCTCTTTGAAATCAATAAAAATATGTGTGTGTGGTTTTTTTTTTTTTTTTTTTTTTTGCTTTTTTTTTTTTTTAAGAAAAATAAACATTGGTTAATACAAAGATTACAATCCTGCTCTTGCCTTGCTTAGAGCTACAGAGAGAATCGTGTGAGAGGAATGCATGCGAAAATACTTCGCAAATTATGTGGGCAATGATCAGTATTAATCAAAAGCTTATCAGGCTTGCTAAGGAAATTCTTGAACAAGAAAAATGAGAGCCTACATCAGAGGTGAGCGGCAAGCGGGGCTGAGGAGAGCCAAGTGGCAAAGAAAAACTGGCTGTCAGAAGCTCATTTTCCGTGCTGGCAGTTAACCTTCAATCCATTTTATAAGGCCAGGAAGTAGCCATATTTTTAATTAAGTGTCAACGGTAGGCTCAGCAACATAAAATGTAATGGCAGGGAAGACACACCAGCTTAAAGAAACAGCTTCTTACCTCTCCTTCTAAGAAAGATATCTTTTCTAAAAGCTGCAATATTAAGAGCTGCTTCTGTTGCACCTTTTTCTTTAATGATTCAATCTGGAAAGAAAACAAATGGAAGACTGTTAGTCAAAAATACAGAACTGTACAAGTTAACCCACTGGAAGAGACGCCTTTAATTTTCATTTAAACAAGACCTACACAGCGGTTCTGTGTGTTCCGTGGAATAGTATGAACACGGGAAGCTCCATGTAAAGGGAATTCCGAGCCCAGGTAAGCCTGGGACATCAGACGTGATTCTGGAGTCCCATGTCATTAGGTGTGTGTAACCTAACTAATCAGGTAGTCACACTGATTTTGCTGGGTAACCCTTATTCCCATCAGAACATGCTTCAGGAAATGCAGATTCAACTCTAGATAAAACAACTCTTCAGTTTAAATATATGAGGTACCCAGCCTATCAAACATGCAGCTCTGTTATTCCTGTTAGTGCTTCATATCGATATTTGCTCAACCAGGTGTCAAAAATTTTCATCTGAGGAAGGGGTAACTGCCACTCAAACCGCTTAGTGAAGCACAGAGGACTGGGGACTCCTGGCGGCCTGGGGTGAGGAGGGAAGGCTCCCTAAGAGACAGGCTTGAGCTAGGCTTTCACCTTTGCTTTTTAATACAGATATTCTCTCTTGGACTCCTCTTTGCTCTTCTTCCACATATCATGTCTCCATACACAAACCACAGATGCCCTAAAGCCTGAACCAGGGTAGTGTGGTACCAGGCCATGTCTCAGAAACTAGTGGAAATAGTGTGTACGTTCATTAAGTAACTCATGATTTTGAAGACTGCACTAATTTTCAAACAATCTTGTATATTAAATTTGAACATTTGCAAAATCTCTCTCAATGCAAAATGACCCAATTCCTATAAAAAGTACAAAAATATAATTGCATCTACCCTTACCCTTTGATTCAACAATTCAATTTTTTTCTTTTTTCTTTTTGTTAATCCTCACTGAGGATAATTTTTCCATTAATTTTTTTTAGAGAGAATGAAAGGGAGGGAAAGGGGGAATAGGGTAGGAGGGGGGAAGGAGGAAGGAAAAGGGAGGGAGGGAGGAAGGGAGGGAGGGAGGGAGGGAGGGAGGGAGGGAGGGAGGGAGGGAGGGAGGGAGGGAGAAACATTGATGTGAGAGAAACACATGGATTGGTTTCCTCCCACACATACCCAGACAGGGGCCTGGGATCAATCTTGCAACCCAGGTATGTGCCCTTGACCAGAATTGAACCTGTGACCCTTCGTTGTGCGGGACAACACTCTAACCACATGAGCCAGGGCAGCAATTCCACTTCTAAAAATAGATATTTGCCGAAACCGGTTTGGCTCAGTGATAGAACATCGGTCTGAGGACTGAAATGTCCCAGGTTCGATTCCAGTCAGGGGCATGTTCATTGGTTGCGGGCACATCCCCGGTGGGGGGTGTGCAGGAGGCAGCTGGTCAATGTTTCTCTCTCATCGATGTTTCTAGCTCTCTATCTCTCTTCTTCCTCTCTGTAAAAAATCAATAAAATATATTTAAAAAATAGATATTGAAGAAATATTGGCCAAAATATGAAATGACTTAAACAGGATTTTGTGGGGGGGGTTTGTTTTTTGTTTTTTAAGAAAACAAAACTCTATAAGTAAATGGCTGGTTAAATAAACCATGGTGCATCTTAACACTGGATGTCTATCTAACCTTCAAGAAAAATGAAGATCTCTAAAGCACTGATCTGGTGTATTATAAGGAATACATGCTCTGCTAGCATTGGTGTAAAATAGGTGAGGACACATGAATGCATATATATTTGAAAAAGAAAATACTGCAAAGATAAAAATAAATCTGAATTAAAAAATAGTTACCACAGGGAAGAGGAGAAAATTAGATAGAGGACACAAAACAGAAGGAAGACCTTTCTGATAAAACTATAATACATAGGTTTAATTTTGGAAGCATATTTTACAGGTACAAAAATAAAACTAAACCAAAATGGACAAAATAAGTGAATCCTAAAACTTGAAAACAAACTGAAATAAAGGATCTTAACTGAATAGTAAATGGGTGAAAATAATTAATTCAAACATTTTAACAAGGCAATTTGACTATATTTTTTAGTGAAATGTATTCTAAAGATAAACAGAATTGCAAAAAAAAACAAAAAACAACTCTCATTCACTAGGAAAATTGTTTGTAGTGATATCAGTATTGTTATTTTTAAACCAATATATTGTTAAACATCCTATATAATAAAGAGCTATATAATAAAAAGCTAATATGCTAGTTAGACCGAACAGCAGAATGACTGTCCAGACGACCTTCCAGACAAAGCCCGGGCTGCAAGGGCTGAGCCCCGTGCACAAACTTCGTGCATCAAGCTGCTAGTGTTTTATATTTATATCAAGATTTTTAGTGTAATAGAAAGAAATTCAAGTATGAAATCAAAGAAGTAAAAGTTTTATTAAATTCGAAATAAAAATATCAGTAGGAACTCATAATTTTTTATTTTCTTTTGTTAAATATGCATTTCCTAACTTTTTCCATGGAGAAAACTTAAAAACAATAACAATAAACACATAATATATGCTGATTGTGGTCTTTAAATACCATTCCTCAGCAAAAAGACATAGGACATCTTGAAGGAATGACCCTTTTCACGGGGCAAAAATATACTAAATGAATCCAGACACCTTGTTATGCTTGAAAACAAGAACACGAAAGCTTTTCCCTGGGCCAAGGTTGGGACAATTTGAGCATCAAAAAGAATAATGATGGAATTGAATGGAATATATACATATATATGTGAGTATTTTATGATTCATCAGAAACAAAACAGCAACTACTCGTTGGACACCATTGGAAGTGGAAGGGCACAATCCCTTATTTATAAACTTGGCAATTTAGAAGAAAGAAGAAAGCATTTATCCTGTCTTTCTTGTACAAACTACATTTTGAGATGACTAAAAAGTTCTAATCTGTGAGGGGAAAAGCTGTACTTTTCAGAAGAATTCCAGTTAATAAATGGGGAAAGAATAATAAGTTGGAAAATTAAAAAAAGAAAAAGAAAAAGAATAAATGAGAAAATCACCATTGTGCTATCCCCATGAAACAACTGACTGGAGCAACCACCATGGATAGATGAATGCATTAGGGGCAAAGCTGATGAGGAACTTTACAGCTGCTTCAGGCTGCCACCATCTGAATCCATGATCAGCCTTAGCACCATTAAAAGTGGGACAATCACATGCTGCGTGCCCCAAAATGATGCAAAATGAATCATACAGCACCACTATGAAGTATTCTTGCCTCCCCTCACACACAAAAAGTTGAAACTGAATCTAGGAGAGCTTCTAGAGCAAATAAGGAAAGAAAAAGTCAAATCCAGAATGTGGGAACTTTTATAGGACAACCAACTCAAGGTCCCTGGTGGGGGTAAAACTGGTGGCAGTGGAGATGGGGGAGAGGGTCAGGGATAAAAGGAGGAGCAGGTTATAGATGAAAAAACTTTAGAGACATAATAACCAAATGTGTGGACCTTCTCTGTGTGCTGATTGGTCCAAAGCATCCGTAAGAGACATTTTAAAGACATTTCAAAAAAATATTATCACAGATTGGCATATTCAATGATATCCAGGAATTATCATTAATTTTGTTAAGTGTGACAATGGCATGTCATATGACGCACACTGACCACAAGGGGACAGATGCTCAACACACAGTATGGAGCTCCCTCCTGTCTGGATCGGGCTTGCAGGGATCAGGCAAACACCAGCTATCCGACATCCCCCAAGGAGTCCCAGATTTCGAGAAGTCACAGGCCAGGCTGACAAACCCCACTGGTGCATGAATCCATGCACCAGGACTCTAGTGATTATATAAGAAAAAGTCCACATGTTTCAGAAATGCATAGCGAAGTATATAAGAAACATAAGCAGGATGTCTGGGAATTGCTTTACAATAATTACATGGGGGTGGCGGGGGGAGAGGAAAAGAAGGGACAAATATAGCCATATTTTACTATTTGTTGAATCTGGTTAGTGAGTCTAGAGAATTTCATTGATTATTCTCTCTGTCCTAAATGCATTTGACATTTTCATTATAAAATACTTAAAATTCCACCCAGTGTCAAAAAATATAACCTTCCAACATGAAAGCAAACCTTACAAAATAGAATATACAAATCACGCTTAAGAAAAATGTCCAAGGTTACTAATAATTAAAGAATTGAACAATTTGAAAGAGTAGTGAGGTATCTTTTACTACCTATTAAATTTGCTCCAAATTACTGACTAAAGAAATCAGTGTTGGAAGGGGTGGGAGGGACAGCTCCTCTCATGTGTTGCAGGTGGCATTGTAAATTAGAATGACCTTTTGGGCAATTTAGCAATAAATATTAAGAGCCATAAAGCTGTTTGTACCCTTTGACCCACTAATCCCACTCCTGGGAATTTATCCTAAGGATATAACTCAGATGTAGGGGGAAAAAAGTTATATATACAAAGATGTTCTTGCTCCTATTATTTATAATAGAGAAAATGGAAATAACCTTAATGTCTAGCACTAAAGGAATGGGTAATAAATTATGGGATATCAATTGGATGGAATATATTTCGCCAACGCTAAAAACAAATATATTGCAAAGTGAGAACGTGTTTATCAAAAGCCCAGAGGAAGAGAAAAACAAAAGTTTACAATGACGAAGGTATAATAAAAGCTGGGCAAAAACAGTTATATTGTTTAAATTTCCTTCAACGTTTGTAGGAAAATTTTTCAAAAATCATCCTTATAATGGTGTTCCTTTTTTCATCCCTTCCTTTAGGATTTAAGGTTTTTAAAAGCTGACTTTTAAAATCTTAAATGATAGGTAAAATGGGTCCTGAAATGAACTAAAAATGTTCTAGGAAGGTCAGAGGCTATATGTCATCAAATAACCTAAAGTAACGTAGAGTGTAACTTCGCACACACACACGTTTCCCTGTCTCGGAAGTAATCAGAGGGGTTTGTGAGTCAAGAGCAGAAAGAGGTGTGGTAAGGGCACCCTGATGACAGCTCATGGGAGCATTCTAAT